AAAAAAAATATCATAAAACAATGTAACAAAATCACGAAGTAAAAAATTTATTTTATTACGCGTGATTTTCACCTTGACTCAATAATTTGTTTCGAGTTAAGATATCGATTATCAGTAACGTTAAACAAAGTGATCTCTAAAAAATTTCTTGGATAATTGCTCAAGTAATCATTTGTTAATTAACGAAAAAAAATTATTACGGCGTTATTTTATGTTTATAAAGAAAGGTATAACTTCATTGAAAAAATATTAATCGTAATGAATGGAGTAATAACAATATCATTCGCGTTTATACGTGGGCATCGATAAAGTAGGTTAATTTCACTTTCCACGAGCTCTTGAGAAATAATTTTGATAATGTATCAAATGCCTGCTCTTATCTATACTTTTATATCGAAATAATTCGAATGTTACTTTGCATCATGTAATATTATTAATTTATTAATCTGTATGTACATATATATATATATGTACATACAGATTAACATACAGATGTATATGTACATATACTTTCTGAGATATCAGAGAAAATTTTTTAAATTGAAAAGTTATAAGAAATTAATTGATGAATAAATTCAATTAAAATATCTTCGTAATAAGTAATGTTTCATCGATCAATCAGTTCATTGCTTATGTTCACACGTAAATAACAATAAAAATTTGACAAAATAATATTTGACAGTTGAATCTCAAATTTCAAATGCATATATACCTACATGCTCGTTTAAATTCGCGTTAAAGTATCTGTTAATCGCGATATTTTAACAAAATTGAATTTAACATGACATTGTAGCAAGCAAATTATTATATACGTCTTTTGATGTATATCTCTGCAAGAAATTTAATGTCATTTTCATTCTTTTCTAACAAGTTTGCAGGCAAGACATTTTGAACCGGCGTGCGTGATTACGCATCATGTAGATTTGCATTGTGGCGTGTACTAACGCGCACAACACGTGCATATATTGTAATTAAAGGTGTGTTTTATATATATATGAATATACACATAAACATAATATCATAAATTAAAATTCCAAGAAAAAACGTTGAAATTTGCAATAAAATGAAATTTTAAATGAGTTAAACATCAGGTAGGGCATACCCATAAGAAAGACGATAAGAATAAAGACGATGATAGAAAATCCTCGTAGAATTCAGAGGATCCTTCAGTGTTTCCGTGTTCACAGTCGTTATCCTGGTCGACTCATTGTCCGGCCACAAAGTTGCTGAATTTGCACGCTCAATTAGTCACTGGTAGGGTCAAAACAGACCTACGACAAAGCACTGTCGCACTTCGTACCAATATAACACGTACATGTAGAAAGGCATACATGATGTTCGCATGCATTCGTACGTAGTTTCATGCGCAGACCTTTTCCTTTTTCTTCGTCGTCAGTCTGATCTTGCTACACTGTGATATCACCGTAGAGAACTGGTAGTAACCGGTAGTGTATTTTCGTGAATGACAGGCACCAGTGTAAGGACAAAATTGAAAATGACAAAGAGCGAAAGTGTATGTGCGCAAAGTGAGAGAAAAGAAAGGTGGGAGTAATTGACGAAAGAATCGTGGAGATACTGCAAGTTGACACAAGTTGGCATTTAATTTCTGGAATTCGTGGTTTCTCTCTTTCATTAACCGATAGGTACGAAAATAACGAACAGAGCGTACAAACGGAGGCGCTAGTTTCGCCGTATATGCCTTATATACACCGTTCTGTTCACCCGATTCCCCTCGGTTCTTTCTCTTTTGCTCGAGTTTACGTCACGCGAACCGCCTCCCAACTCTTTCCTTCTTTCATGCGAACTTCTCCTGCAACCCCGCCTCGTTTCGTGACGAACGACCGGCGCCGCCTGACGACCATAGCTCGCGTCGCGACGCTCTCGTGGCGCCGTCATGCGGTTACCCTTTTTGATGTTACCACTTCTAGACATGAGAAGAATTCCCGTTCAGTCGAGGTGGGACAAATTATCGCGGTTGTATTTTCATACACATCATAATTATTTTAAATATATGCGCGCCTCTATTTAATTAAATTATCATTACATTCCATGTAATCATATTATTACGTGTGTATGTGTATACATATATATATATATATATATATGATTTTATTATATATATATACACGCGTATATAATAAAATCTATATATAAAAAAATAATTACAATAAACGCATGTATGTATATACACAATTTTGTTTTTTCATCTTATACTTTTACTTCTGAAGATATAAATATTATTAATTATATCTACTTTATTTAATAGAAAAAAAAAATTAAAAAAATACTTTGTGTAATATTGATGACGCATTAACCTTACGTATCTATTTTATCATGAAACTTACTTCATAACTATTTAAAATGCAATATGTAAGACGCAATATGAATCAAAGACTATAGAAATGCATAAGGTGCATGAATATAGGTATTTATGTGTGTATGTAACATTCATGTGTGTCATTTTTGTATTATGCACTTGTTAGTTGAATCGATTCTATGAGTAATCGCCGATATGAGTAATTAAATTTTTACTTCTTCAAATGTCATGATTATCTAAAAATTTGAAAGAACTTTTAAAATTCTTTTTGTAAATAAAACTTACTAATAAATAATAAAAATCTGTAGTAAATAAAATTTATTATAATTTGTAACAAATAATCGTATGCGCGTTATTAGTATATATAATTGTGTATCTGGTGTAATACGTTATATTTATTTGTTAAAAGGTGAAAAACCTATAAGGCATAGCCTTCGATAGTGAGTTGCAGTCTCAAATCTAATATGACCTAAAAGTCCTTTACGGACTAGTATACGTGATGTTTCACAAAATACTCATACTTTATTTAAAGATAAATCGACCGAGAGTGGCTAGCTTCTAAGTTTTTCATGAGTTATATCACGAAGGTAAAGCCGTGCTCATGTAATAGATAATAGGATATTCAATAACACTATTACGTATAACAATTGTATTATAATAACAATTCTTAATAACGAGTTTGTTAAATAAATTGTAGATTAACTTGATGAAAAATTATCGATTTTCTATCGAAAACAATCGACTAATTTTCATTGTTAATTCGATTTCTTAGTATCAAGCTCGCGATCTATCTATAATTACATAGAAACATTACTTACCGATTTGATTTAAATATAAACAGTTAGTTGACCATTAGAAAAAAAGCAATGTTGTTAACAAGAATTTTAACTTCCTTTCTGTTAGTTTTTTTTCTTTATACAATAGGCACTATTTTGTAATATTTAATGAAATCTTCTTCGTAATTTATCTGTTTGAGGTTGTGTTCTTCTTTTAGCCTTGTACGAACAGTCTAGTTGCCAAGTTACAATAATGCCAAAATAAACTCAGAAGTGCGAAACTTCGGTTGACATAAATTCTTAACTGTGATAAGCACGTTGTGTATGTACAAGAACTGGTTGTCAATTATAGAGAAATGAGAAATGTTAGTCTTCTTTTACAATTTTATTATTATGCATTTCGTTTTCCAACTATTGGAAGTTAAAAATGAAAAAAATTTCAATAATGTTCACATTTGCGCTACGTGATTTAACAATAAATGTATCATAGTACATCCACAACGTGAATATAAGATAACAGTACAATACCAGTGGGTGCGTGTGCAGATATATAAGTACTAGTGATAATTGTTATTTAAGTGTTATCGATACCTTGAGACTAATTCAGAAGATAAAAACAGGATGTCATCGTCCAACTTCCACAGAAGTTAGAATTTTCCTTAAAAACGATAATTATTGTTTTACATTATTTGTTTTTACATTTTTTACTATACATTTTTGTATTTAAAATAGATCTGAGGATTTAAATAAATGGAATTATATGAAATATGTGTTAATTATCTCCATAAAATTAATTTTATACCAAGTATAATTAACATCAAATAGTAGAATGTTCTTACATAAGTTAATCTAATTTAATCGTTATCTTAATTTAAGCTTCATCAATTCTTTCTAATTACATCGAAAAACAATCTTTAAATTTGTTTCTTTTTCTTTTTCGGACGCACACGTTTTGTCTAATAATTTCTAAATATTCAAAAGTATTTAATAAATATTTATTTGTTTGTTTGTTTCAAAAACTTGTTAATTTTAATTATTTATGTATTATTTGTATTATTTATAATTATATATAGTACTTTTTTCTTTTAAGCTAAAATTTAATTCTCCATTGTAGTTAAATTTTTACTATTACACGACCAATCAAATTTGACTTTATTTGAAATATACTAATTATTTAAGAAGATATACAAATATTAAGATATACAAATACTTTATAAATAATGATTTAGATATAATGTAATTTATTATTCATATAACTTACTATTAAAAATTATAGAATACTGTATATAATCGGTCTAGATTTTCCTTAGCTTCAAAAGACACTGAATCAGCTATGTATGTCGGCTTAACCGTGACAACATAATATACAGATTCTCAAGGTACAACGTGCAGTGTACAACGCGTGTCACAATGACAAACTACAAGTTAATATTTTTCATTGTAGATTAAGTATATTCGCGAGCTTAAGTGCAGTTCAAGGTACAACGATGGTATTAGTATTGATATACTAAGTTGACTTCAGTACTTTTGAATATTTAATTCAAAATATTAAACATTTATAAATATTTATAATGAATTTTTTCTTTATATTACTAATTACTAATAAATTTATAGAATTCTTGGGAAATGAGAGAAAAGAAGAAGGATTCGAAGAAAACGATAAAAAGATCAAATTTTTATTAGACGATGAGAATAAAGTATTGTAAAAAAACTAGCATTAATAAATCATTGCAAAATTTGAATATTGCATACCAATAATTAATTGAGTAATCATAAATAGTTTCGTTTATTTTAATTCCATTCGATCATGTCTTTCCAAGAAATTTAATGCTTCGTGAATATTCAATGTACGTAAAAACGGAACCATACAGGAATTCACGATGCTAAATTTAACAGACTCATCGAACTATTGTATAAAAATAGTTTCATTCATTCGTATTATGTCATAAACTTTCGCTTGTAAGCCAAAGAAGATATCAGCAAAATACAATGTTTATTTTAAATTACTTCCACGATAAATTAGCGGAACATATGTTCATAATATTACGTAACATTTATGACTTCATATATATCTGTGTGTGTGTGTGTATATATATATATATATATATTATAATATATTATATATATATATTAAAATTTAGATTTTAATAAATTTTGTATATATGTATTCAATTTAATTAATACAAAAAAATTAATACAATTAATATTGAGCGAAACATTCGATAATGCTAACAATATGATATTTTTATGTTTTATAATATATCATTGTATATTACAGAGCAATGAAAGTATATTAGTACTAATATTAATATAAAGTTAATTTAAAATAAATATAAAAATATTAATGAAAATTTCTACGAAGAAAAAATTTGAAAATAATTTATCAATATCAATATAATTTATCATTGATTTTATAAAAAAATAATAAATATTCTATTTACACAGTGATATTGCATATTAAATATTTTTATTAATATTTCTGCTACGTGAGATACAGTTTCCTAAATTTCAGTATAACAATATTTAATTTTATTAATTTTTTATTAATCTTAAATTTATAAGACTTATTTTAATATTTTAATATGTACTACTATAAACAGTAAAATAACGAATTGTGTTTTTACAATAATTTACATGTATTGAGTACATTATTACTATTTATGTGAGGTTAGTTGCTTGTTGTATTTTGAAGGTTAGTAAATGTGCATTGTTATATGTATGTTAATTTAAACTTATTATTTTATAGTTACGATACAGTATATAAATTGTTATATATATTAATTTATCGAAATCATGAAAGTTACTATATTTAATGAAAATGATTCTATTCTCCTAGTAGGAGAAGGCAATTTTTCATTTTCTGTTGCATTGTTTCATCTTAATTTAAGAATTAATATTACTGCAACATGTTATGAAGTTAGTGTTAATCAAGAGTTTGAAAAGAA